TTGCTGCGATCGAAGGATAGGGTTTTGAGAAGTGAAAGGTCACCTCTTCAACAAAGATAATGAAAGATTAGTAAATACAGATAGCATTTAAGGCTAGGTAGATATGCATCAACTCGACAACTAAATGAGGAAGCATGCAAATCGTCATAGTTTTTTACGTGTAAAAGCAGACAATCAATCAATGCAGTGCGTAGCTTATGAGAACAATATGCGAAACATTTTTGATTTGGATATGCGGTGCATACAATCAATCAATGCAGTGCGTAATGTATGTGAATATTATGCGAAGCACTTTCGATTTGGATATGCGGTGCAGACAATCAATCAATGCGGTCCATATGGATATGCGAAAAAAATGGCGGATAGTCGTAAATTATGCGGCTTTCAATTTGGATATAGGTTTCGCTAATTATGCGGTTGAAGACCAGGCGAATCAACCCAATTGTGCGATTATTATGGGATATGATATGCGAATCGCACAATCAATACAATTGTGCAATTATTAGGACATGTTATACGAATCGCACAATCAACCCAATTGTGCGATTATTATGGGACATGTTATGCGAATCGCACAATCAACTCAATTGTGCGATTATTATGGGACATGTGTGCAGGTCAACCCAATTCTGATTTCGGCAATTGTACCTGGATTACGAACATTTTCAATGACCTCATTGTCTTATTCGCTTGAATCATCATTGTGCGTGTTGGTTTGGTCATCATTAATGTCATCGTCACGAGAAAGACCTGGTTGGTTCGAACAACCAGCGATTTGATCATCAGTTCCCCGAGGATATCCAGTATGTGTAAATGAACTAGGGCCTCGTGGGAAAATGCAGAACTACCAACACCAAAAGAACTCGAAAATACACCTTGGGACGCCATCATTTGCGTGAAGCTTTGTTGCGCCGTCCCCGGAATCCCTACATTTACTCGCTTCTCAAACTCCATGTAAATGTTGGGATTTCTTTGTTCTTCAATCAGCTCTAAGATATCCTCACTGGATTCGATTTTCATCTTTACAACTCGTTCCCTTCTATCAAATACTGCCCACAATATGTACTCAAAATTACAAGGATCGGCCTTCAATAATGCTTGAGCACGAGAAACTACTTCAGAATACATTTGTCGGCCGTAATTTATTCTTATCAGCTCTGCCACTCCACCAAGATATGAACCCCCGCAAAACGAACCACCAAAGTGCACTAATACTCTAACACGGTTGCTAGCCATTCAAATAAGTGAACAACAGAAAGAATTAGAAAAAAAAAAGAAGAAAAATGCAGTAGATGAATGGTGCAGACGATAAATTGTTAGAGATCACTGTTTTTTTGCCTGCATGATAAATGTAGAGACCAAATCCTCACCTGTGGAAAAACAGTCAATTAATGAGGTGCGCAACTTATGCGAAAGATCTGCGAATGAATTCCGAATAGTCGTAAAATTGCCAGGTCGATATGGCCCTACGAAAAAATGGCGCATAATCGTCAAATAAATTATGCTTTACTCGATTTAGTTATGCGGTTTTTAAATATTCGAGCAAAAAAGTCGCATAATTGTCAATTATCCGGAGGATATATGCGAAATTTTTCGCATATTAGTAAATTATGCGATTGACTTGGATATGCAATTACCAGAAAATGCGTAGTCAACAAATTATGTGAATTAGATGCGAAATATTTTTGCATAGTCATAAATTTGCAAGATCGATATAGCCCTGTGAAAAGAAGGCGCATAATCATCGTAAATTATGTTGAATTCGATTTTTATATGTGATTCTTAAAAATGCGAAAGATGTTCGCATATTTGTAAATTATACGTTTGATGTGGATATGCGATTAAAAAAATGTGAAATATTTTCGCATAGTCATAATTATGCGGCCGACTGGATATGCGCTGGTTCATTTGGACATGCGAGTGTAATATCCTAAAGCATTTCGTGAATTTTGGGGTGTAAACGAAGTTATTTGACGGGGTGGTGTATAAAAGAAAGAATAGATATATAACGAGGTGAAAAAAATTTTGACCCTTACCTTGAGGAATTTGGACTTGGCGATTTTGAAGGTGCAGTGGAGCCAGAGAATGCCTCTCCTTCGAGGAATTCTACATATGTGCAAGATCTGGTTGGGGGCCAGGTTTTTGATGATGAAGCACCTTTGCTGAGTGAAGGGTCGAAGGGGGCTAGTGCTCCCTGGTCTAAGCTTGTTTTGCCGGTGAAGGGCTATATTAGTTCCGAGGCTGAAGTCCGGTCATTTTTCAAAAAATGTCCATCATATAGGGCGTCATAAAAAATGGTCCACTAAATTGCCACTTTAATCAAATTCGTACAAAAGCCAACATAGTGTTTTAAAAGTGATTGTCATTTTTAGTACACAATGTTGGTTATTATACGAGTTTTGATGAAAAGTGGCAGCTTAGAGGATCATTCTTGATTTCACCCTATATGATAAATCTTTTTCGAAAAATGACCAACATACTGTACTAAAAATGAATTTTGCCTTATATAAGGTTTGTTCCCAAAATAATAATAATAATAATAATAATAATAATAATAATAATAATAATAATAATAATAATAATAATAATAATAATAATTTGGAATCTTAATAATACTTGACAAAGCTATTTTTTTATTTTTTTCCTTAAATCAAAAAAATATTGAACATTCTATATTATGATATTTTTAGACTAAACAAGAAATACTTTTTTTAGGTTGGAAAAAGTGGGATATGAAGTTGGCATGTTGACGTCCGCGAGTTAATGTCAAAAGTGGGATATGAACCTGACGTCATGCCCCTGACGTCAGCATGGTATTTCAACATTGTTTGCTGATTGGTCGGGATAATGTTGTCCTTATAAGAGCAGGGAATTGAAGAAGACAAGCATCACTCCCTCAATTAGTTAACACAGGTTAATTAATTTCTAAACCTACACAATATACATATTATGTATATCTGAATTAGAATGAACATAAATCAGCTACTGAAATATATTTAACTTTCTTGTGTTTGTTTTGTTAGAATATTGCAGATGTCGACTGGGCAGTTGCTGGCCGTGTGCTTCGTTTTGATGTTTATGCATTTTATTCATGCAAACATCGAAGGTTCGTACCACTTTTATGGCTAACACCGGCTCCATTTATTTATTTATTTTGGACCGATCTACGTTGGAGTTTAAGAAGGTGCTAGGAATTTGATTATGATCCTTCAGTAATTAGCGTTTGGGAGCTATGGATCTCTTGTGGGCTATAGATATCTCTTCACTCCTTTGCAAGGGGCGGATCTAGAAAAAAAAACTTTT